ACGAACAAACACAATGTCAACAAATGGTTTAAGCCAAGATGATAATAGTAATCATAGTTCGACTAATAGTAACAGTCAAAATACATCCTCAAGAAGTCTCAGTCAGATGTTCAAAGCTTCAGGAGGTAACTTATCATCAATGCCATTGTTCCTTCGAACAATTGTTCTTTTGTGCGCTTCTGTTGTAGAAAACAAAAGCCGATTATCTTCCTCATCACCATTATCTGCAGATAGAAAACCATCACCGTTAAGTTCTACGAATAACAAATCTCAAACCACTATGTCTTCAATGTCACCTCAACAACAAGGAAACCGTCATTTTTGTTCTCATCCAGACTGTGCAAAAGTAAGATGAAATAGTGGTGAGAAAAACGGAAATATGTTCCCCTTTAATTCAAGGTATTTGCGAATAAAAGTGCATTGGCCAAACATAAACTGACACATTGTCAAGATCGAAGACACAAATGCGTCAAATGTAATAAAGGCTTCAAAAGACTTGATCATCTGTAAGTTATTCTCTTACTTGCATCGCGCATTAAAAATTTCATAATTAGAAGAGTTCTTATTTACACTAAACCAATGTTTATCTCATTCTCTCACAGTTATATTTACTATCGTTAGTTAGTATAAACAATGTTAGACAGATGCCGTGATTAACACTAACCGTTCTGAGTTTATCATGAATTTTAGTTTTGTTCGAGATGAAAATATGTATGTTTGAAATAAATTTTCTTTTTTCTTTCCAGACATGGTCATATGTTGACCCATGAAGAAGAAAAGCCGCACAAATGTCGTGTACCAGATTGTAATCGAACGTATTGTGATGCACGATCATTGAAACGGCACATTGAAAATGCACATCAGAATATACTTGCTGCTATTCATGAAGGTGGACATGATGAATACCGAAGATTTCTCCCGGAAACTGCCTTTGTCAAAACCAAAGATTTGAGTAGTGATTTTTCCATCGATTCAGTTGACAGTAATTCACCTCGATCATCATCAATCGACAATGATCAAGGGTATCATGTGAATCAACTTCGATCATCGAATGGACATAAATTAGTTCCAACTTATACGTATGTCAAATAATTGCTTGAAAATTGAAACAAAAGCTACTGTATTGGTGTGTTTAGATTTGATGAAGAGAAATGTGTTGAATGTCACATATGTAAAAAGAGTTTTAAAAATGGCGCAGCACTCAATGGTCATATGCGTTTGCATGGTGGATTCAATGATGTAAAGTTTTGAATAGATCGAGTCTTTTATGATTTATTCACTTGTCTATTCACATTTAGAAACAACCATCACCATCCTCAACTGATAATGCGCAAAAGAAGAAGCGTATCACACCTCCGGGACCGAATGATCGTCGACAAATAAAACGTAAACGGCCCAACTCGCCTATCTCATCTAACGATTCCACTCAGCGACCTATTCTTCAACGTTCAATGCCAATTAAAAGCGAAGAAGATGATTATATACTCATGTCACCATCGTCAAACCCATCTCATCAAAGCAATCTTCATTCTTACCAACAATCCATGTATCCAACTTTACCACCGTGCTCTGACGTCTTACAACAACGTTTCTACGATCGGACATTGTCATCCCGAACGCGTTCAATTTCGTCATCTGTCATTCAAACTCAAACGAATCCATTATCGCATCCGATCATTAAAAATCCCATGAGTGTTCAACCTGTGCCGAACATTTCGAAGCAAAATCGCAAACAAATTCCATTACCATCACAAGTTTACGATAGAAACAATAATCATCCTTATGGTTTTGATTTGCGTATGAACGATGATGCGCTCCATAGCCGAACCAATATGAACAATCATAATAGTAATCATTCGTTGAATATTCCAGCTGGAATCCTACGGTTTGATCAGCTAACGAATGCACAAATGTTCCCAAATGTTGGAACAATGTCGAACTATGATGACAGAATAAGAAAAACTCTCTCGGTTGACGAAACATTAAAATATTACCATCAAGACAGACAGGTAATTAATATTCTTCTTCTCGAAATGACAAATATCTATTGAGAACAGTCACAGTCTCGATCAATAGAAATGTTGATGACTTTCTAACCCAAAAGGTTATCCAGATGACACTTCGTATTAGGTCAACGAATTCAGTTTGAGAAAACGGCTGAATGACATTTCGATAAGCCGGATGAGAGATTTTCCTAATTATTTTCTTTCCTGTTTTAACTCAAGATTATATATAATTAAACATTTTTTAAAACTAAATTTAGATTAACGAGTTTTCATCGGCTAAACATCCTCAACCTTATCTATATGGTCGATCAATGTCCACTCAGCATCATCCAACAACATTTTCCCAATTTCCAGTCTCGCCGCATGCACCTACTACATTAACTCCAAATATTTTCCATCAAATCTTGCGCCATACGAACGATATGTTGAACAAAGAATTTTACATATCACGGACCGATCACCTCAGCCAACACCATGCAAACATAGATGATTCTATGCGCTATACACCATCAACAAGTCCATATGCAACACATCTGTATCATTCTCCATCACCACATATTGTTCATTCACCGGCTGATAGAAGTAAACAAATCCTAATCGATTTCCTATTCACTAACTTCGTTTTTTTCTCTCGTTATTATTAGTACCTAACCCAACAGCGTCAGTTATAAATACACCGGTGACATCACCCTATTCAAATCTAAATACTAGTCATTGTTCTCCAGCATCATCCACAGATATGTGCAATAATAACCCACCATCAAATAGTATGCAACCGTCACCACTAACAAATTCGGTTTTATCTCATGCGGCATTGAAAAAACGTATTTTGAATGCGCTTAAACAGGAAGCTCAAGATGAACAACAGCATAATCAAATGGGACAAGATTTTTCTCCCTCACTTGAGCAAAATACTGATCAAGACAATAAATCGCAAGCAAACGCCGAAACTTGCTCGGATAATTCATCATTAAAGGTTATTCCTGATATCGATAGTCCAACACCTGATACAACTGCAATAGCAACGGCGATAACGACAAAATCAGCATCCGGTTTTCTTATTGGGACACCATCTTCGTCAACAACAACAACAACAATCAGTTCATCATCGGCGTCATCCGACACTACACATTTTAATTATGAAAATCTTCCACCTGCCATTCCAGCACAAATATCTGAGCAAACAACCGCAAATTCAAACAATGGCTCATTTCAATGGCCATCACAAGTTTCTCAATTTCGTCGGCAACAAAGTTTAAATATTGCCAATCAAACATCAAATCCACTTCCAACAACTCCGTATACACCCCCGCCCATGCTCAGTCCGTTTCGAAAAGGTCCAGGCCTTTATTATCAAGTTTTCTCTCAGACAACACCAGCTGCAACACAACAAGCAATAACTGTACCAACACCTAGCTTACCCTTTACGCCCGTGCCCGATGAAATATCAGGACCGAAGATCAACATTGGGGAAAAATATCAAGCTGTTATTCCTAAACTTCAAGCGAATCTCGATGATAATTCTGTCGAACATGATGAGTTATTATTTTCTCCATCGGAACTTGTCTCTCTCGACGAGACTGCACTTGACAAATATGAGCAATTAAGTCGAACAAATCCCCTATTATTTTCTCCGCGTCATTCACCAACATTATATCCAATTGAATTAGTCTACATGCTGCTACATGAATATAAAGGTGATCTTCAACGTACACTAGCTGCCTTACTCGACGGTACAGCCTCAGATATCAAACAGTGTCGACCATTACATCGCTATCATTTTCCTGAATGTGATACATGGACAAAAGAAGAAATCAATGCATTTACAAAAGCAATGGACAGTTCCGAGAAGAATTTCTTAGCTATTAGTCGAGCTGTAAGTTTTCTTTTTCAGAATCACTGATATGATATCGAACTTTCGTTATTTGCATTCCAGGTTGGAACAAAAACGGTGAAACAATGTATTGAATTTCATTATATGCCTAAAGTACATTTTACGAATCGAGAAACCGGTACGAACTCTCTCGCTACAAAACGAAAACGATTACAGATGATTAAAGCGAAACAATCGCATTCGCAGAAGCAAATATACGATGATGATATATCTTCATCGCCATCATATAATGAATTCCGTATAGTAAGTTTCTCTGAAAATGATGCGTTCATCTTGACAAAACGAATGTTGCTCACTTTAGGATGATGACAACGCGACAATCATAAGTGATAATTCAACAATAACCGTATTCTCCTGTGATATCGACGATTGTTTACAAGTAATTGAGAACTAGAGAGTTGTTGTCACTCAATATGAGATTGAATTTTCTTTTGTTTTATAGACATTTACGAGTGAACGAGCTTATCGTGCTCATCGAAATGATCATCGTCGTATAAGAAACACAGGAACACCACCGGCGAATGTAAAAGGCAAATCAAAATCTTGATTGAAGCAAGTGAATGAAAAACACTGTTATCTTTCGTATTTTATTGTATATAGATGTTTCCTTTTCCGTTTTCGTCTTTTTCTCAGTTTTTCTTTCTTTTTTTTTGAAACATCGACAGTGATTAACCCTGATAAAGCAGAAGAAAGACAAGAATAATATATATTATATATACACATATATATATAAGTTTGTGTGTCTTCGAACAAAACAGAAAATATCCTCGTGCGCTCGTTAGTTTTTCCTCGGTATATATTTTGAAAAAGAATGCCTTATTACTATTTATCTGAAAGAAATAAGAACTGTGAATCGGATCTCGGTGTGTGTGTGTTTTGCGTTCTTCTAGTCAGATCATATCTTTGTTTATGTACGTTATATTTTCTTTCTCTCTCATTTCGTCTTTTTTTTTCTTGACTACATCTAAACAGTTGGATGTAGTGTATCACTGGATTTGTTTTCTTGCCAACAAGTGTGTGTGTTTATGTGTGCGTGCTTTGTTCCTTCTTTTATTGTGCGTGTGTGAAAACGTTTATGTATGAAAAAAAATCCGAAAGAATTAAGCATCACTTCGATTGATTTCGTAATCGGCGACATCATCCATCGGTTTATCTTTTGTTTCAGGTAATAATAAAGTTAATAAAACAACAATCACGGCTAATCCAGCCGATGCATACGATGTATAAGGTTGATATTCCGCACTTATCGATGTATTGATAATTGGTGCAACGATAGCGCCTATTCGACCGAAAGCGATAAAAAATCCGTTTGCGCCACTTCGAATCGAAGTAGGAAACAGTTCGGGAACAAATATCCAAGACACAGCTATTGCACCTGATATCGAATATTTACCAAATTGAGCGATGAACACTGTTGCCTCTGGACTATGTTTTATAACGATTGGAATGAGAATGACACAAACAGTTGTGAGAGTCATCATTAGAACAAATGAACCTTTACGAGCTAATCTTGTTGATATCAGTACATTGCCTGTAATGTATCCAGCAGCTTCTACAACAGCACCGATCAATATGCCTAGATATGGAGAAATTTTCATAACAGCTAATCCATAACTGATTTTGATGTAGAGCATGAGTGATGTAAAGCCAAGCAAAGCAATCGTTAATAATTTAGTCATGATTGATCGATTGACAAGTGTTTGATGAATTTTTCGACAGAAAGGCATTTTATTTCCGTATGTAAGAGTCAATGGCTGATTTCTTAGAAATTCTTGATAGTGTGGATACCAATCGGTCTCTTTTTTTTTATTGGTTTCAGCAATTCGCCGTAAAAGTGCTTCAAGTTGATTGTATTGTCGTTTAGAATACAAATACAACGGTGATTCAGGCATGAAATAAAGATAAGGTAGAACTAAGCCAATAAAACATGTGTTAGCCCATTTGAGTATTTGCCAATCTTTTGCCAAATAAGCGAATAGAGTTAGAATGGCTTCTCCAATTGTGAAGGAAACAAGTGTAATATTTCCGGCAAGACTTGTGTGTGCAGACGAGGTCAATTCAAGCATTAGAATAAATATCAGACTGAACGTAGATGCAGTAAGACCAGATGCAAATTGATTAAGTAATAAAAGACCAAACCTGGAACAAAATGAAGCCTTTTTCAGCTACAGAAAACTTATTTACTTCGTATTGATTGTCATCGGTACCCATTGCATGATGACTTGTGTGATAACACATGTGATAAACAGTAAAATAGTTACAAATGCAGTTACTTTTTTCCGACCGAACTTATCCGCAAACAAACCGATAAGTAACAATGAAAATCCACCACATTGCATTAGCGTTGCCAACCAACTCTTCAACGGTTCATGACTACAAACAAGATTTGCCTCTTCAGTGAATGTATAGCCGAATATCGATCGATCGTAAACCCAACCATTCGGACAACTGATTAATGTATCGTTCGGATTCGCAGAAGCATATCGTACACATTTCTCCCACGTTGTTCCATCTTTTGTTTTGGGGATATACGCGTTAATGATTGTTTCATGCGTTCGGTTAATTGGATAGTACTGTGTATCGTCAGGCCAAATGGAGACTGGTAAGCGACATCGATGCTCAGGTTCAGCTGCGCCGAAAACATAGTAAAAGCCAACAATAGCACTACTCATCGAAATGAGATTAATAAAGAAATAATGTATCACATGAAATCGATTAAGATCACCACATTTTTTCAAGATACTGTCTAAAGAGATTGGCGCTGTGGCCAGAGATGATAAACTCGTATTGACATCAATTGGGTCTGCCTATCAATAGCACGTCAAGCAAACGATATTACTAATCGAACGAACGAATACACTTACATGCAATGTTACTTTTGCGGGGTCTCCGTTTAAAGAAGCCATCTCACTGACAAAAAGTTTCATTGAATATCTTTCGAACACGTCCTTGGTCAAAGGTAACTTAGATAAGCATATAAAGATAATATTATCTCATCGTTTTCTTTCATTCCCTAGATTTCACTTGTTTTCTTTCATTGTCTATCAGTTGTTATACTCAAAAAAAAAAGAAAGAAAGCCTGCTGAAATTGTTCTTCCCGTTTTTTGTACTCAAAGAAAACAACACCATTTTCCATCACATCTATTTTCTTTTCTCACACATGATATAGTCAAGGTTATTTTCTTCTCAACTCTCATGGAAGAAAAGTGACTCACAATACTTCGTAGTAGAAAAAATCTGTTCGTAGACTATTTGACACTGATAGAGAATGCATAGACGTTAACAGCGTTTTTGTCAGTGAACTTATTGATTCCTATGTGTTTTTTTCAGTTTTATAGAGTAAATGCAAGCGAGAGCGATGACAATCATACACAAAAACCTCATCGTATTTTCAATTCAGCTGTAGATCCCCAATGTATTCGCTTCTAAGTACAAGAACAGCGTGCAATCATCACTTCAGAATTCGAATAATGCTTCAAAGGATGGAAATGAACGTAATAAGATACGCTCATAGATGATGATATGTGTTCCAATATTTGGTGTACTAGTAGCTTGAGTACAGACGATCCTTAGAGAATAACTTCATCGCCGTCTGAACCATAAATAGTTTGCATGTTCAATATTTATCTAATTTAAGTGGAAGTAAACTAATGAGTACGACATGCTTCTCAACATTAGGATATATCTTAACGAGCTGCTAACAGACCACTTGAAAACTAAATAACATGTCTCATTTTGTTGATGGAGATTATCTAAATATGATTAGGAGTCGCATTGAATAACAACAAGAAGTTCAAGTAGAGTGACAGTAATCATGGTGCCTCATGCGCAATTTATTAAAATATGTATATGTCAGTTATAATGGTATTACACAACGTTCGAGATGCGAAAATTATCGATTCCAATTTCATCCTAGATTCCGCACAATTGTTTATTGATTAACGATGCGTGACTGCTGTCAAGAAAGAAGATTTGGCTTTGATTTGTCATCACTGTATTGTCGAGAGTTTTCCACATCGGATTCAAACTTGATTTGTTTTCATGCACCGAAGTAAATAGCAAACGATGTCCATATACCCAAGATAAACAGCAATGTGTAATGGCAACCAACCATCGGCATTGTACATCCAGATATCACACTCACCGACTTCCACAAACACTTTCAGCACATCGAGACGATTGTGGAGACAACAGAAATGAACGAGAGATTGTCCATGATATGTGAGATAGTTGAGATTGAGTGTAGGTAGTTGATGAAGAAGTTTGTGAATGTCGTAGATGTTGGCGTTAGACTGAATGAAATGAAAGAGTCGAGAGGTGAACTGATGATGATCAAGGATCATTTTTGAAACAAACGAAATGAAATGGAAGAGAAAGAAAAGTGTGGTATGTTTATATAGAGGAAAGAGTGAACGAATGAAATGATTTTGTAGGTGAGAACGAGAGAAAATGAGATCAAAATGAAAGCAGCTGGTATGTCTAATGACTAGTAGAGCACATTTGTTATGGTGTAATCCATTCTATTCATCTGCGCTGAAATGAATATGCATATTCAACTAATTATATATATGTATATTTGCTACAAATGAATCAACAAAACAAAATATCACAATTAAAACATAAGATTCTTTCGTTTTAAACCTTCTTGAATAGACTGCGATTGTTTAAAATCATAAGTTATTTCCTGTTCATCCGCATCCTTTTGGTCGTATCTCAATCGATCCAATTGATTATCCGATCTCGATGTTACACCTTGATTATTTATTGTACGCAAGTCTCTTCGTGAACGTCTTAGCGATGTTTGCGATATGGTTCGTCGTAATGTTGTCCATGACATATTTCGTCTCCATGTCCATGTTTCATCATATTCTCGCATTTTATATTGTAAACCATTTAACAAACCCATTACAATGACGAGCAATAGAATGAAGATGCCGAAAATGACACCGAGCACTAAACTAAAATTGTTCAATAGACCCAACCGAACAAGATTCGTCGATGGCAAGGACGAGTAATTAAATGAACACGAAAGGTAATTTCTGTCATATAATTGTCGAATTAGCGAATTATCGAATTCGTTCGAATGATATGCAACTGTAGACGTATCATTCGTTGCATTCAAATTCGTCAAAGCTTCGATTGCTGTCTGACATTCCATTCTAATTCGATTAAAATCACATTGATTGATCAATTCATCTGTCTGATGTCGACATGGAATGAGTTGTTCATCGACTTGATCATGTTGAAACGCATACAGAAGTGGACAATTACAAGTTGTAAAATTCGAAATGGAGAATTTCCAAGGGATCGAACGTGAAGCTGAATAAATAAGGCACGACGAGTTCGCCAGATACTTAAAATAATATTGAATTTGATGACTAAAGACAAAGAGAAATGAAAAGACATGCCAATGATTCGTGAACTCACTTGACATTCTTGTCCTTTTCATACCATTTAACATAGCGAATGTTATCGAAAGAAAAATGACACCTTTTCTGCATGAAATTCGCATTTAATGTCGAAAGATCCACTAATGAAATACCTTTGAGATAAATATCATGAGTGAACAAATCTGTTCGTAGTGATTGTCTCTCGAAACGCACGGCAGTGATTTCCGAGAAATTCAGAAGAATCGAGCCGAGCGTTGCGCTTGAAAACGTCTCTTTGGCAAAATTTATCATTGGATTAACATCATTAAATGGATTAATCGAAAGGATTCGTAATTGATTCTGAGTATTATGCAATGAAAGATTGTGAAATGTATTAGAAAAGAAAGATAAACCACGAAGAGTATGAAAATGAAATAGAATAAGAATATTTTCACTGTTGAATTTCGTTTGTAGATTGTTGAATGAGTACGATTCGAAACATAAACAGGTTCCCAAGGTTCGAATCGTGAAATTGAAGATGGAGTGAGAGTTTAACAGCATCGAATCGAATGCGTATGATTCAAGATGCAAGCGATTCAAAAAGATCGAATAGAAATGAAATGAACTTGATGATTGTAATTGTAACGACTGAAATGCGTAAGATTTCACATAGATATGTGAAATTAATTCGAATTGAAACGAGATGATTTGATTCGATTGAATGTTCAGGTGTGAAAACGAATAGGAATCAAAGAAAATGGTATCTGTTCGTGCAAAAAGAAAGTCAACGGATGAATTGAAGTCATCTTCTTTAATAATATGCTTTTCAAAGTAAATCTCGGTAATGGAGGATATGTCAACAATCAAACGTGAATGTTTACCCATTTTAATACCAGAAAGAGAATTTTTATGGAAAGTAACTCCGTAAAAGAATTTGATAACGATTCGTAATGTCGAATAGGAATAAAGTTCGAGACCATTGAATGTGTTTTCTGTGATATTCAACCAAGAATTCGGTGCTGCGAATGTGATCGTTAAAGTCTTATTGGGCTTATCGATGATTAATGATTGAAATGCAAACGGATGCAATGTTAATTTTACTTGACCATTCAAGATCATGTACGTATCACGCGAACCTAAATGAAAATTCGTAAATGATCGCGCCGGAACATCCGTTAATTGAGTTAAAATAATATCACGATAGGATAAACAATCGTAACAATTCGATGGAATATAATCAAACACACGTGGTTCATAATCGTTCTGGTAAATTATTGTTGATTGAATATGAGAGAAAATTTGAAAGAACAGCAATAACTTGCTATTATGTAGAAAAGAAATCATCTCTAGAATGATTATTTCTCTAAAGCATAAATATATATATGAGAGTAAATCAAGAAAAGTCACTTTTTCTAATCTCCACTTCTTCGGTTGATTACGTAACATTATTGTACGCTGCAGTTCTATCCTGTTAATGGGAATGAATAAACGTTCTCTTTGTTTAATTCAGAGTTTTATTGCTCGTGTGTCTATGGTCTTGTTAACGTTCATTATGAGTTTTCCTTCGGATATTTTAAGCCTTCTCTTACCTATTCATCACTTGAAGTCAAAAAGAAAGAAGAAAATCCAACACGAGATTAGAATAAGAAAACTCTCAAATCAAATTAGTCAGTCTGTCTTTTGTCTTGCTCTTCTTCTCCTTCTTCTTTGTATATATCTGTTTGTTGTTTAGATAGGAGTAATGTCAAGCCATAGACTAGTTGATTAGATTATTGAATTCTTCGTTCTCCGCCCATTTTCTTCTTCTTCTTCTTCTTCTCTCAGTCTATGGTGATGCATGAAGAAACATACGCAAAAAATGGGGGAGGGAGAGAGAGAGAGATAGTGAAACACTACTTATCTATTGGAATGGATATTTTTATGAGTTTACTGATTTCCCGAGTGATTGTATATGTAAAGAATAATATAACTAGTCAGAAAATTGCTCGACAAACTGACCCACATGCACTTTTCTTAATCTTGACTATCTCAGTCAACTCTTCAGCGTTTCTGAGATGAAAATCAGAAAGAAATCTGACTTATGAATATGTGAAAGAATACCGATTTTTCTTTTCTCACACGAACAACTCTCGCTGTTTATGATTTGTTTGTTTTAAAAAGGAAGAGAAGTCTCGTTTGTTTGTAATCGATAGTTGCATTGAACTGCCATTCCTGCTCATACTCTATTCATCATTATTATTTTTATTCTTACAAAACATCAAACAAACCTCGCTGCGCAACTTCTCCTTTCCTACTTATGATGGATTGATTAGTAAACAGAACACCGAAATGAACATCAAATAAATGTGCCTGTCTTTGCTTTTCATCTCAACTCGTCATAGACAACTGTAACCGAATCGAAAGGAGAACTTGTATCATTATCCGGCTTTTCCTATGTCTCTTGCTCCGAGAACAGATTAATTACAATAAAGAAAGAGAGGAAGTAAATATCCGCAGATTAAGTCGTTCCAGCTACATAAAATATGCTTCCACATGTGTTAGTTAAAATCATCAGTTCCGCTTAAATAATCGTCTTAGAGTGCATTCAAGCACAAGAAAGAAAGGAACGAAGTTTTCTCTTCTTCAAGCTTAGATATACATGCTTACATATTATTTTAAATAAGACACATGCACTTGCTCATCTTCTGTTTTCTCATGCAATCAGTTAGATAAGAGGCACAAACATCTGAATGATCATTTCTTCGAAATAAGCATGAACTTGCCCTGAAGCCAATGCAACTAATATACACACGCACACGTTCCAATAGTCCTTTCGTTGGCAAAAGAATAAGCAAGTTTGTGTCTGTCTACACAAAAAAGAACTATATATACAAAGCAAGCAATTATCTCTGAAACATAACTCGTCGATGTTACTATAATTTTGTCAGAGAACGAACACGAGTCAGAAGAATAATTGTCAAACAAACAGTTTGAAGTTGCCGGGTGTGTAAAGCTACAAATAGACATATTGATTATTCATCTAATCGATTGTTATTAAATGCCAAAAGACATAGCGGACAGATTTTTTTTCAATCAATCTGTCACAAACGACGTTGGTTCCTGATTTTTTTTTCACTTTAATGAAGTGAAAAATATTTTAATGTTTTCATATCCGACTTGAATTGTTCAAGGAGAAAAATTCTCATCACGAATGAAAGAACAGAAAAAAAAATCTTCGTTCACTCTCTTCTCACATCATGTGAATGTTCATTTTCTCTCTTTCTCTCCTTCATTAGTTATGATCCTTGATCATCATCAGTTCACCTCTCGACTCTTTCATTTCATTCAGTCTAACGCCAACATCTACGACATTCACAAACTTCTTCATCAACTACCTACACTCAATCTCAACTATCTCACATATCATGGACAATCTCTCGTTCATTTCTGTTGTCTCCACAATCGTCTCGATGTGCTGAAAGTGTTTGTGGAAGTCGGTGAATGTGATATCTGGATGTACAATGCCGATGGTTGGTTGCCATTACACATTGCTGTTTATCTTGGGTATATGGACATCGTTTGCTATTTACTTCAATTACAATTGAAAAAGTCGGGTGAGATATGAGAGAAACGATGGATTTTCTTTTTCGGTTTATGCAGTGATTTAAATAACCCCTTTTTTTGTTTATGTGAAGACGTGAAAGTTTTTCTTTGTTGAATAAAAGAAAAATTTATTATTATTGTTCGTGTGAATGAGAACAAGTTGTCTATTGTATCGAGTTTTTGCTCGCGGCTATAAAACAATTGAGATCAATCGAGCGAGGAAAAGATCGATAAGATGATATACACATATAAATACTTCTTTTATGTTCAAGGTGAAAATTAAAGCGAATACTGTGATTAAATTTGAATGGAAAGAGAAGAAAAAAAGTGCAATCGAGTCAATGTATTTCATTAAGTTAGAACACGACTGAGAACGAAAAGGAAATAGGAGA